CATTTGATTTTGACCACAAGCTCTTTAACAAAAGTGATGCTGACACCTTGCATGTGGTTTGACTTAAGATTAAACATTTCGCCCACTTGACAGAAAATAAACACACTGTGCATCGCTATTCTGCCTATAAATGATATGGTTTCCGGTCTGTATCTCCTAGCCCTAAATCAGACATTGAGACTCACTGCAATAGCTTTGTTACTCACTTTTCCAAATAATATTTATCATATCAGAAGATGAAATGTTACCAAGGATACTAAAGTTAGATTAGAGGAGTAGCTGATACTATCCGTGCACAATCAAAATCTGTGAATTCAAAGTACGAATGTATGAAGTGGACCTCCAGCCGAGACAGTGATGAAGACAGACCTCAGTGTGAATCCAGCTGCCTGTGACTGCATACGACTACAAAGCCACTGACTGTATGATCATACTTGTTGGCAGTGTAGTAGCCCAATACTAGAAGGAAGATAAGGGGCCACATCACAATGAGGCTTCCTTTGCCGCGTGGAAATGGTAGCAACTCATTAATAAAAAGAAAACGGTTATAACCTAATTAAAACTTAACATTACAACTTAATTAATAACCAGATTATAAACCATTCATAAGGGTAGCCTTATTTTGAAGTCGTATCTAAGAAAAAAATAAATTAAAATTTAGGTCCCAATGGAAGGAAAAAAAAACCCCAACCAATTGTCTTCAACATAAATGCTGGATTCAATGCTACGTTTTTAATTGTCCTACTGATTTGAATTCTTGTAATTGTATTTCTAAAGACAGGTGATAAATGACACGTATTGGTCACACTCATTACAGCACAGCCTTACACAGGACAGGCTACACAGCACAGCCTTACACAGGACAGGCTACACAGCACAGCCTTACACAGGACAGGCTACACAGCACAGCCTTACACAGCACAGATGCCTGCAGCTCCTCCTTACACTCCATGCTAAGACTTAGGGAAGTGAACCAAGGCAGTCGGCATTTTACAGGCATATCCTCATTCCTTCATGTAAAAGGGAGCAACCTTCACCATCTATACACACAAGGAGTATGTGTGTGAGAGCATTTCAAATATGTTCACACATTTAGACATGCATAAAAGTGTATCATAGGAAATGACAGATCTAGACTCTCAAAAAGAATCCACAATCGCTTACGCAAGTCAAATTTTATGTAACCTAGATTGACCCCCCGATTATTCAAGACACCTTATAGCAAAAAACAGATAAGCTAATATGCTGGTAAAGCGCACTAAAGAACACATATTACATAAATAAGAAGGTAAAGCATCAATGTCAGCTTTTGCTTTCTGCATTAGCGCTTTCATATCTGCTACTATTCAGCTACTTTTTGCACAGCTACTGTGGAGTTGAGTCGCCTGCATTCAGCACAGCCTTTTATCCAAGGTGACATACGTAAGGCCCTGCTTTCTCACTGCTTAATCTCACAGTCAATCTCCTGTAAAAAGAAAGTGACAGAGTGGGTGGCTGTACAGGAGTTATCAACATTCCACTTGGCACCATCTCTCCAACAAGTCAGTTCACCACATTTTCTACCCTACTAGAGCTGTCCTGGTCAACCACAAGTGAAGTGATTGTGAAAGTCCACACGACTGAAAGCAAGTTCAGTTGCAAAATGGCAGCACACAAGATCACAGACAGGGACCCAGGAGCAACACCCAAACTGACTGTGCTGCACCCAGTAGGATGTATGAAGCTTCAGGTGTCACTAATCACAAATACGAGCCCGTCCTGGCAATACCAGGGTAAAGACTGGATTCATGCTCATGTAAGCTGGCTTTCCCACGAATCCAGCTGCCATTTAGGGTAAACGGGGCATGCTGGAGCCGTGTATGAAGGGCACGTTCAGCCACACACAGCCCCACTAGATGGGCCTGCTGTGCTCACCAGCAGCTGACTGGAGGCCT